TCAACTGCTAATTAATGGTTGTCGAACAGGATGTCTGTGACCTTAACCGCTAATTTATGGTTGTCGAACAGGATGTCTGTGGCCTCAACCGCTAATTAATGGTTGTCGAACATGATATCTGTGGCCTTAACCGCTAATTAATGGTTGTCGAACAGGATGTCTGTGGCCTCAACCGCTAATTAATGGTTGTCGAACATGATATCTGTGGCCTTAACTGCTAATTAATGGTTGTCGAACAGGATGTCTGTGACCTCAACCGCTAATTAATGGTTGTCGAACAGGATGTCTGTGACCAATATGAATATGGCACGTGAGGAGGGGGAGACTACAAATTATACACGTATTTATCACATGAATATGGCACGTGAGGAGGGGAGACTACAAATTATTCATGTATTTATCATATGAATATGGCACGTGTGGAGAAGGAGATTACACAAAACAGGCCTATTCATGTGTTTTTATTTTTACATGCCAGTCTGTCTGTTAAATAAGGCAGACCAATTAATCTTACTATAATGGGCGTAGCGTGTATGTATGTATTTATGTATGTGACCGAAATTATATATATTATCTATTGAATGGCACCACAAACAAAAATACATAAAAAATCTCACACTTTAGGTATTTAAAATTCAGACAGAAAAATAACTAAGGCATGTGCAACGACCATTTCTTTATCACAGAGCACAATTTTTTACAAGTACTCTAATCACAAGTACGTGACTTTCACTAGGACTGTACGTGAGGGTTTGGCTATATCTTTATTGGTGTAATTTGTAAATATAGTACTAAAAAAATGGAGTTCTTAAAATATTTTTTTCAGTAAAGGGTACCACTTTTAATATATATAAGCATTACAGTTTATATCTGCACAATCAGAACACTTTTCCCGTGCAAAAAAAAAAATCCCTTTTTTAGAAAATGTTCAATTTTTCTAATGCTTTTCAATTAGGTATAAGTACTACGATTAGTAATTACTAGTACAAACAACTGCCCGTAGGGTGGCGTTTCTGCTAACGTATTACATGTCAGATAACTTACGTCAAACTTCCAAGTTCCGTGTACTTTAACCGAATAAAATTCTTCACTTGAGACTGCTGTGCATGTGTGGAAGTTTGAGGCCTAGATATGAACAAAGATAACGTTCGTTAAACTCCGTTATCTCATTAATATTTCACTACAAAATATAACACATGAAACAACATCGAACTACTTCAGTTGTTTTTTTTAAATGAAAGTAAGAAAACGTTATCTATACGTGATTAAAGCGAAAAATTTTTGCATCATACTTTCACATTATACTTACATTTTCCGAAGTACGAAGATAACAGTTAGAAACCAAATGATCCCCACACATAATAAAATTCCCGGGGTATTGAACAACATCCAAGTCGTGAAGCTTACCCCGCCATAATTTGGGTATAAACTGTGGGAGAAACCAGCTATGTGTCACTACAACGAGCCAAATATTAAAAATATATATAAAAATAGGTACTTTGTATTTTTACTATAAACATGCACAAATTGAACGTCTTAAACTTTACTGTACACGGTTGTAAACAGAACCTGGTAAGTCTGAAACTTTACTGTACACGGTTGTAAACAGGACCTGGTAAGTCTGAAACTTTACTGTTCACGGTTGTAAACAGGACCTGGTAAGTCTGAAACTTTACTGTACAGGGTTGTAAACAGAACCAAGTAAGTCTGGAACTTTACTGTTCAAGGTTGTAAACAGTACCTGGTAAGTCTGAAACTTTACTGTACACGTTTATAAACAGAACCTGGTAAGTTTGAAACTTTACTGCACAGGGTTGTAAACAGAACCTGGTAAATCTGAAACTTTACACGGTTATAAACAAAACCTGGTAAGTTTTAAACTTTACAGTACATGTTGTAAACAGAAACTAGTAAGTCTGAAACTTTACTCTACACGGTTATAAACAGAACCTGGTAAGTTTGAAACTTTACTGTACAAGGTTGTAAACAGAACCAGGTAAGTCTGAAGCTTTACTGTACAGGGTTGTAAACAAAACATGGTAAGTCTGAACACGGTTGTAAACAGAACCTGGTAAGTCTGAAACTTTACTGTACACGTTTATAAACAGAACCTGGTAAGCCTGAAACTTTTTTTACATATGAAAAAACGAAAGGTTTTCTTTACTTACTCCTCTACAACAAACTTGAAGACTAAATTTGGGGCGGTGGCTGGTAGCGTTCCTGCCCCTCCAACGTTAGCTGCATAACACATTGTTAACATCATTACATTTCTGAGCTTTCTCGTATTTTTTTCAAGCGGTGCCTCAAATCTAAAGAAAGATGACAACATTTTTTCACACATAAAAAAAGTTAGTTCGTATATAGTTCTGCTAGTTCTCGTGTGAGCCGCTAGGTGAATATGCCATTTAAAATGTAAAAATATTACTCTAAACAATAATAATTGACAAATAACGAATTATAAACATAATAATGTGGCATATTTGTCGGGGGAATATACTTTATGTTTCGACAGAATATTGGTTTGTCTTCGTTTTCCAGTTTATTAGTATATCAGAATAACGTGCTTCAGTAATCAAATATTACTCTACACACACAAAATATATATGAAGCCTAATCTATCATTATATTTACCATTGTCACTGATTTCAGGGAATTTTACCCAAAGGTACGTGAGTAGTGTGAGAGGTTCTTTCGCACAGGGCGCCAACTCGAAGGTGGGTGCCTTTAAACATTGGCACTGTCCTGATTTCAGCCCTCATCAGTAACAGTAGACAAGACCAAGTCCAAAGAATAAGACTAGGCTTCACAGAAAGGTGGAGTGTATAGTAAAATACTTTTTACTTACACAGTTATTCCGTATTTATATTGGAATTTTAAGAATATGCACCACTGATGCTATAATTTATCCTTGTGCATCTTTGAACTAGATAAGCGGTTTAAATTATTGAAGATTAAATATTGTTTTGGGTTCTTGAAGAGAGGCATAACTCGGTAAAAGTGGCAAATAGAATAATAAATTGAACTTCGTATTTATTTTTAGTATTTTTTAACAGTATGACTGCTGAATAATTCACAAGAATAGATTATTATCATTCTAGAACTTTCTATACGAATATAGGATTAATATGTAAGTAAAATACATCTGAAAACATAATATCATACTTGTCATAAGACGTTAGTATTAAGCCTATTACATTTTTAAACACTACATTCTATATTCGTATTCCAACTACACTATATTCGCCGTATCCATTTTCGACGGCGTGTTTCGCTCAATCCCCAGCTGGGATACAACAAGCAAAGTAGTGGTCGGAATATTATTTATATAGGCCATTTGATACAACAACAACAATTGTCCTGTTCGACAACCATTAATTAGCGGTTAAACATTACCTTCCCCGCTTTTATACCAGCGTAACCTATTTCTAGTAAGACCTTGAACATTCGACAAAGTACATGATAGTTCTAGAAACAAGATAGCGTGAGAATTGTCACGTGATCTCGATGACGCAACGTGTGCGTAGAT